TTTTGTTGCCAGTTCACAGAGTCCAGGTAGTTGAGTATCAGAATGTTCCATCTCGTTTCCCTTTGGGGTTGCTGTAGGTGATCTGGAAGTCTGTTTTTGAGGCTTATGTGTCTTCTCATTTCCACGAGGGGGGGGGGTGCTTCTGGCACCCACGCGGCTCACTCTCTCTGCCCTAGGTGCCTGGGATGGAGGCGGGGAGCTTCCTTCCGGGTGCTGGGACTGGCTGAGCTTCACTGCCCTAGAAGCCTGGGATGGAGGAGGGGAGCTTCCTTCCGGGTGCTGGGACCGGCTCACCCTCTCTGCCCTAGGAGCCTGGGATGGAGGCGGGGAGCTTCCTTCTGGGTGCTGGGACCGGCTCACCCTCTCTGCCCTAGGAGAGAGGTTCTGATTTTATAAAAGTTCAAACAACAATAAAAAAGAGAAAAATAAATGTACGTAAGTACAAACAATCATAACTGTGTGTTAACAGGCTCTCATAGGATGTCAAGTCCATAAGTTCTTCCAAGAAAGTATAACAAACTAAGGGGGTCCACATGCACATGGGCTCTAGAACAATCCATCCTGATTTGAATCCCCAACTATGCAAATACAATATGTCCTTCGCAAGTCACTTCCCCTCTGAATCTGTTTTCATAGCTTGAAAATGTATAAAACACATGCCTTCCATAATTACGAAGGATTAGAAAAAGAATATCTATATATTTATATCTATATATACATATATATTTGGGTACTGGGGTTTATATATATATATTTGCAGTACTGGAGCCCTTTCTTTTCTGTCTTTTTGTATTCTTCCTTCCTTCTCTCCCCCTCCCCACTTCTGCTCTCCCTCTCCCTCCTTTCTTTCCTTTTCTTGCTTCTTTCCTTCCTTCCTCCCTCCCTCTCTTCCCTCTCCTCCTCTCCCTCTTCCTCTTCCTTCTCTGCCCCTGCCCCCCATAAGGTCTTGCTAAGTTACTAAATTACCCAGGCTGGGCTCAAACTTCCTGCCTCAGCCTCCCAGAGTATTGGGACTGTAAGTTATGCACTACCATGTCCCACTCTAGAAAAAGTATATCTTAATCTCAGTATCTGACATGTAAGCATTTAATAAGCTAGAGTTTTAACAATGGCAACAAA